TTTTATGCCTTCATTAGCCTGAATTTTCAATTGACAATGCTTTAAACACTGCTAGCAGCAGTACTTCACTAAACTCGCAACTAACTCGTTTTTTTTCTTGAAAATTTTTTTTTCTGTTTGAAGTTCAGTTGCCGGAGTAAGGTGTATGTAGTTAAATGTATTAATATCGTCAAATTTTGCGACTATTACTTTGAAAAGAAAATCTTGATTGAGCCTATTACAGTTTTAAGGGCTAAGTCGGTAGAGTAGGACTTGACGAATTCATGCAGGAAATCGGAAAAGGCATTGTTATGCACTAGCCGATCGGTGTTCCTGAGCAATTTCCCCAGAAAGCTCTGGTCTCTACAACGCATTCAAAAGAGATGATCACTGTAATCATTGAGAACTCTTTTATTTATAAATCTTTTTAGGCCTTATTGCCCCAAGTTTTGGGCTCTGGGTTTAGATTTATGCTTGTGAACATCTTGTATCTTTCCCACTGCGGGAGGTTAACAGTGTAAAATTGCCTTCAGAATGCTAAGCGCAAATACCATTATTAATCTCCAGTATTCCAAAATTTCCTGTTTCTCTGTTGCAGATTTTTCGTTTTTTTTTCTGCAGAAACTAGTGGCTCATCACAACAGTTCGGAACCTATATTGTGATTGACTAGTCTCTTCATGAAAAAACTAGGCTTAATTTAAAGCATATACAGACAGGCATAAAAGGATCTAAAAGTAAGAGAACACTGACGACCAAAGGCACTTTTTTGGGATACTTTTGCATACTTTTTATTTCCAGAAAGTTAATTCCATTGCAGCACAACGAAATAACTCTATCTGTAATGAAAAATTTGGGAATGGTTAAGGACGAACTTACTACTTCAGCAGGATTTGTACTAGAATACAGGTTATATCAAGAAAAGCTTATTGGATCACTTTCCGGAAAAGTCTGCATTTTTTCTTTCAGGATAAAGCCGGTCCCATCTGTACGATTACTAGATCATGATCCTGATCCAATTGATGATCATGTCATCTATAAAGTGATAAATCTCCTAAGGCTTAACCTTATACTTTGAAAAGAATCTTATGTTCAGGCTAAGCTCATCCCAGAATTAGCCGAGAAAGCAGATTTGGATGGTTTTATATCAATGGAAGATTTCAAAGCATATGTCGCCCCCAAGGTCAGCTGGAGCCCTCTCGAACATCCTCATTTTACGAGAATTGAACCCTAAAAACAGCATTTCAGGCCTTCTCAGATTGGAAAGCGAAATGTGGCGTTGCCAAAGACTGCTCCGTAGAAATCCCATCGATTCCATATTATATGGAACTACAAAACAGTGCCAATACCTTACCTCTCCTCTCACTTTCTGTCTTTGTAATTGTGTATTTGCTGAATATAATTTGAGAATGAATGTAGAGAGTATTTAGCATTTTAAATGAATGTAAAGAGTATTTTAAATTTGAATGTGCTTGAACTGTTGTAGCTAATAATCTTCCGCAGGTGTTTACAACAGTAAATAATTTTTTGAATGTCTTTTAGTAGAGTCTTCCATGGAGTTAGATCTTCCCAAATGTTAAACTTTCATCTAGTTCTTTACGTAAATCATAAATCACACTGGTGGGGCTATGGGCATAACAAGGAGAAAGCGTCACTTTAGAACAAGTGTCACTAGTTTCTAACACGAAACTCTTGGACTTTTTCAATGCAACCGCCCGAAGTTTGTGCAGTTTAAATTTCTTGCAAAGTTTGTCTGCATTTTTCACCAAAGATGTTTGATTTGACAACAAAAGCATATGACTACTTTTGCGCAATTAAATAGCGACAAAATGGATGTGATTTTTACTTTACGTATGAAAACATTACTGATTTGTTTTTAAACATCGGCGGTAGTTTTACAACTTATGCCATGACTCGACACTGTGACGAGATGGCAGAGAATATTATTTCAGTGAAACCCAGCGTCTCAAAAAGCCCGTAACTGGTTAGATTTTTGTGCTCGATAAACGAAAGATTAGCAAGAATAGTATTGCTCCTAATGGCAGGAAACGAGAAGTCGCTTTTGTTATTGTGATTAGTGTTAACCAAATCAAGTACTTGCCTTCTTGTTACTCTCGCTTTTCTTTCCCTTTATTTGCACAAAAGCAGTAAGGTGCTTTAACGGCGTAGCAGGAGGTCCCAAAGACATGCCGCCTATCCCCGGAGGTAGCAATTAGAAGCGCGAGCCATCCCGGATGGATCTGGCAACTTTCCAGCTTGATTTATGCATATGGTTTATCTCTCTCTTTCATACGAGCTTTCATTTTTTGCACGCACGGTTTAGTTTGAGCCAACTGAAGGCGGTGGGTGCAGCCGCACCCAGCTTTTGGAAAGTTGCCAGATCCATCCGGGATGGCTCGCGCCTCTAGCTACCTCCGGAGATAGGCGGCATGTCTTTGGGCCCTCCTGCTACGCCGCCCCTTTACATTTTTCATTTTTTCCCGGTATTACTTCTATTCCCAAACTAGGTTAGTTCCTAGCACGATCTCATTCTATTTGCTCATCGATATATGGAAAGCCATAATACTCTTGCCTCCTCCATAGACTTCAACTTCGACATTGCTCCAAGGAAGTCTTCTATTATTGGAGGCATCGGACACCGGACTCAATTTCTCATATAATTTCCATGATCCACATCTATCCTTCGCTCCACTGTTTTGCCTAGAACCTCACTTGGGACTATGCTAATCTCAAGAGGATCATCGCTGATCCCTGCTGCCCCTCACTGACATGCACAAAGGACGTACATGCTTCAAAATTGTTGGCAATCCTCGGTTGCTATCCGACTGAGTTGGCTTACTCTCTGTCTGCTCTACTCTTGTGGCTCGGGCATTCTCTGACTATGTATCCAAATTTTCTGCGCACAAAACACTTCCTCGCTCCTCCTGTGCTATTGTTGCCCACTCTAGGCAAGGAATGGCTTCTTTGAGGTGGAAGCATTCTGGTGATCCCATGGGGACTGCTCTACTCTGTGCTGTTGGAGTGGCTGGCACTTTCATGTCCTTCTGAACACTCAATATGAGTCTTAACTGCTCTATGCTGATGGCCAGTTGTTTTATTCTCTCATGCGCCCTCCTTAGTCATACCTCGTGAACCACACTCACTAACTGGAATTGCTCAGGCCACTCGCTCAGGCTGCCCAGTAGCTGCGCGTACTCCATGGACCTCTCGGTGATACTATAGTCTGACGCCTTTCTCCCAAGATCTTTAAGACTGCAAAAATCCGCTACATTTTGTTAGCGTCGTTTTCTCAAATCCGTCAGAGCTCGCATCTTACCCGCCACCGAGTCATTTGCTAAGAGCTTGGCCAACTAATTTAAACTCTAGCTCATTCATCTTTCTTGGCATTACCGCAAATAC